GGCCCCGCCCACTCTAACAGACTCCCCGCCCCCTACCTCCATCAGTCTGAGCGGTGACAGGAGTCGGGGGTGTTCGGAGGGGAAACGGTTGAACGTGAGCTCTGGTAGTTCTGCTGCTGTGCCTGCATCATCCTACATGAGTCAGTGTTAGCACAGAGACACCCCCCTGTCCCCCCCTGTCCCCGTCACGTCTTCATGTCCCCTCCTGGTCCGTGTGTACAGAGAGCATCACTTTCCTGCGTATTTATTTTAAGGTTGAACAGCTTCCTGTCTGCTCGTGAAGGGGTGTAAACCTGGGACAAAGTCCTGCTAATAAAAAACCGTTGATTGAACCAAACCGGGCTAAAGTAACCCTGATCTATGAAACCCTTCTGGTACTGGTCCAGTCTCAGACCAGGTGAGTTAGTCCACACACACGGCTTGATGGAGCTCCTCTGGTCCAGCATGGCACATGATGTCTGTCCTTGTTTCCTGTTCCTGGGCCTCAGTTTGTCTCTTCCTGTGGGGTGGGGGTGGGGCTTGGGGGGGGGACACTGCTGGTTAGAGCTGTGTAAAGTGCACTTAGACATTTTCAGAATGTTTTTCTTTGGGCCACAGGCTGCCATGATTGTTTGGAGCGTTTCATTTCCTCTGTCTTCCTGTGTTGATTCTGAATAAAAACAGTGTTTGTATATCAGAGTGCAGTTGGGGGGTCTGGGCAGACAGGACAGGACTGGACTGGGAACACCTCAGAGTCCCCACGAGGAGCTGCAGAGATCTCTGTTGACCCGACTACAGAGGAGCGGTAGATGTAGAAGTCTAACAAAATAAAGTCTGGATGTATTTAAAGCTTTAGACTGTGCAGTAATTCTACAGGTGAACCAGGTGGAACAGGTAGAGACTTCCTGTGAAGGGATTACTTCATCCCACAGACTGGATTAAAAACCTCACTGATATTAACGTACATTAAAAAGCTCAAAATATTTGACAAACAACAAATTTAAGTTTTTACATTGTTTATTAGGAGGAACTACTTTTTGGGGCGTAGGAATACCTTCTGAGGATGTCCCACCTGCCCTCAGGGACCACCCATGGAAATCTGCAGGTCCTGATGGTATCAGGTCCAGACTCCTGAAGACYTGCTCAGACCAGCAGATTGGACACGTGTCCAACCTGAGCCTGAAGCTGGACATGCTGTCCTGACTGTGGAAGACTTCCTGTTTGGTACCTGTCTCCATGTGTGTCCTCACTGCCTCGGTTTCTTGTGTCGTTTTTGTCTTCCTTTCTCTCATGTCCTTTTTGTGTCCCTGTCTCCTCTTGTGTTCTTGTCTCCATGTCCTTTGTGTCTCCATCAATTCTTATGTGTCCTTATTGTCCCTGTCATGTCCTTATTGTCCCTGTCGTCCTTATTGTCCCTGTCATGTCCTTATTGTCCCTGTCATGTCCTTATTGTCCCTGTCATGTCCTTATTGTCCCTGTCATGTCCTTATTGTCTGCCTTGTCTTTTTGTCCCATCACTTCTTATTTGTCCTTCTTGTCTCCATGTCTCAGCTGTCCTGTCATGTCCGTGGTCATAAAGTGTCTCTTCACTTTAACTGCATCAATAAACAGCAGCAGTCCTTCAGCGTTCTGTCTTTGTAAAAAGGCAGATTTTTATGGTTCTAAATGAGACCTGTTCTGGACCTGATCCAGGTTCTGAAACCTCTGGTTGTTTTTAATAAATGAAGTAAAAAAACATCAAGATTTCAACATTTCAGCATTTTATTAAACCAATGGTGAAACAAAAGTTTTTTTCATATTGCTGAACCTGTAGTTTTCTTAAAAATCCAGCAGGTGGCAGTACTTGTCCACAGAAAAACAGATCCTTTTAGTCCAGTTTGCCTGTTGGCAAAATTTCAGAAATAGCACAAAATCAAATTTCATTGATTTATTTAAAAGGACAATCAATATTCTGTGAATATAAATGTGCTTGAATTAGCACAACAGTTAAATTTCATCGATAGTCCTGAGCAGATAAAAAGGTAACGATTCATAAAACAAGTGCACAAAACAGACAAAATTCAACAGTCCAACAAACACAAACTCCTCAGTCTACAAGGTACACAGTTAAATTATGTTAAAGGAGAATGACTGTATTTTTTTAGCCAAACTTTAAGTTTCTTTTAAAAAATGGAATAACTTGGAGATAGTTAAGTGTTCCTCTGATAGACGTCACCTTTTGACAAAACTCAGTTCTCTGCTTTGCAACAACACAGTCCCCTTAAGTTTGAGACACAGTATTCATTCTGGATGTATATTTGTGAATAAAATCATTTAAAGGTAGAGGAGCTCGTCCATTTAAGACCCTACAAACAACTTAAATCACTGAATCTTTGATGATTTTCAAAGTCCATGATCTTGTATTTATCAATGATTTTACAGTAATGAACATGATAAGGTTGTCTGTCAAGAACTTTGTCTTTTTTAAGAGAGACCTGGTGGATTTTAACACATTTGCTGTTGTCTGGGACCAAGTTCTAAGACRATAAGAAATATGAGAAAAGATCATTGGATCGTGAGATCGGGAGTATTGTTTTTAAGGTTTGACCTGAACTTGTTTCATGTTGACCAACATCAACTTCATGAAGTCTACTGCAGAGAAACGACTGACAACCTTAAACACAACTTTATTTAATTTTGTTTGATAATAAAAACTAATCTAATAAGTTTGGTCCAAAAGAAGAGGTGTCCTGATCCTGGTAGGTTTTCTGAGTCTGGATAGAAGGCTTCAGTCATCGTCTCGCAGGATCCGGACCTCGTTGGATAAATTACAGAGCCGCTGTTTGAGTTTGCGTTGAAAGGATTCATAGTGGCTCTCCAGTTTTTTGAACTTGTTCGTCATGACGTCCACGCAGTGCTCGATCTGATTGACTTTGTTCTCCAGGTCTTTGGCATCTACAGCGGCCATCAGAGACTCATCTATGAGGTTGTCCTTCATCAGGATAGACCTGCCCTTCTCCTCCAGGGCATACTTAGCATCAGGGTACTCGATCAGTACCTCCATCAGATCGTCCTTGGAGAGAGCAAACAGRTCGGAGTAGCCAACACTACGGATGTTGGCCGTCCTTCGGTTTCCCGCCTTGCTGCCTTTGATCCCCAGGATGCTGATCTCTCCAAAATAAGCACCGTCGCTGAGCACCACAAACTGCGTGATCCCGTCATCTGCCACCACGGCCAGCTTTCCTCCTTTGATGATGTACATCTCCCTGCCRATGTCACCTTTTTTACAAATGTAGTCCCCGGGACTGAAGACCTGAGGCTGCAGCTTCAGGACCAGCTCCACAAGCAGACCCGCCTCGCAGTCCTGAAAGATGCGTACTTTCCTCAGTGTCTCCAGGTGTACATTGATGGCTATCTCTGCCTTCAGCTTGTCGGGCAGGTTCTTCAACACCTGCTTCTCATCGCAGTTCTTCCCCTCAGTCCACAAGTAGTCGAACCACTTCACCACCCGGAGCTCCAGGTCCTTGGTGACCTTCCGGAACTGCATGTACTGCTTAATGGAGTCGATCTTTGCCTGGAACTCAACGCGTGCGGCACTCATGTTGGAGATCATGGCACCAACGTTTCCTACAATCGTTGCAAAGATCAGGACTCCAGTCAGGAAGTCGGCTACAACAAAAAAGTACTCTATGTCCCTGACTGGAGGTGGGGTCTCACCAATCGTGGTCAAGGTGAGCGTGGACCACCAGAAGCAATAGATGTACTGCCTGAACAGGGCAGCGTTCACAGGTTTTTTGATGTCCGGATAAACCCACGTATCCGAGCCGCAGCCGAGCACCTTGGAGATGGCAAAGTACAGGCAGGCGTTCCAGTGGATGATGATGATGATGTACAGGACGAGGTTAGCAATCCGAAAAATGTTTGGAAAGTTGGTTCTCGTTTCAGTTCGATCAAAGAACTCAAAGAGCCGTGCCAGCCTGAGGAGACGGTTGAATCTCCACTCAGGGTTGTTGATTCCAATTTTAAGGAACACAATGTCTGTAGGAACAACGGACAAGATGTCGAGTTTAAACTGACGAGTCTTCATGTAGGCCTCTTTCAGGACCTTTGCATCCTTTACCAGCAGGCCTTGTTCCAGAAACCCTGTTGAAACATTAAAATATTATAAACATTTAAAAGTATTATATAGTTCAGGTAAAGATGGGGCTTTGAAGTGTAAAATATAAATAATGAATTGAAAAATCACATACCATATTTTATTAACAACTAAAATAAAATATCAAAAGTTAATCTCCAGGTCACAAAACCTCCCAAACTGGTCTCATCTGTCCCTCTAAAACCCCCCAACAACTGGTATCTTCATCTCCTCTAAAATCTCTAACAGGTCTCAGTCCCTCTAAAACCTCTAGAACTGGCCTCTTTGATTCCTCCAGATAATCTGGGTTTCTAAGCTTCACAAATCACTGATTTCTGTTTTATTTACATTTTCATAACATCTGAGCTATTTATTTCTAAATAGGGGTGGGTTTATAAACAAGAAGGGACGAATTGGGCACTTACCTGTCCTGGCTCGAACAAATATGTCTGCGCAGTACATGAGGTCTGAGCTGTAGTCCAGAACCATCCACAGAGTTAAGTATGTGGACTGCAGTTCATTAAAACAAGATCTACATGAAGGTAAACCATGATCCAGGTTAGATTATAACTGAGATTTATGTGGAATATTAAACAATGTTAATCCTGACCTCGCCACCAGAAAGTTCAGGTTGTAAAACACAAAGACTGATATGGTGTAGAGCCAGAAGTAGTACAGATCTGTGGCAGGATCCATGATCCAGACCTCCTTCCTGAAGGAGGACACAATTGTTAGGATTGTTGTTCCTTGTCTAAATTACACTATGTGTTTTCTTCACCACTACAGACTGGAGCAACACCCTCATTATTTCAGATCAGGCTCCAATTTGTTGATAACAAGACTCTGAGATACTTGAAACTCCGGCAGAGACCTCTAGCCCCGACCTGGAGGAAGCAGTCCAATCTTACATTTAGAGGAACCACTTCGCAGCTTGAAGACTCCAACAGAACCACATCATCTGCAAAGAGATGGAACCCTGAGATTCCAAAACCTGACCTCTACGCTCTAGGCCTTTGAGATCACAACAGTGAAGACTTCAAACAGAATCAGAGAAACAGGACAATCCTGGTGGAGTCCAACTTTGTGCTGAGGATGCAGACTCTGCTTTAGTTCCCACAACATGGTCATAAGTCTTCTCCATGTCCACAAAACTCATGTCGACTGGAGAGTCATACTCATGACCCCTTTAGCAGCTCCTCAAGGCTGAAGATCTGGTCCTCTGGTTTACATTTAATGCAAACCCCACAACTTCTCCTGAATATGAAGTTCAACCATCGGTCAAGAGGCTGAGAACTGTGATCCCATGACAGTTGGAACTTCCTGGTCCCCGTTTTAAAATAAATACTACCTTGGTTTTCTGCTCCACAGGTGCCAGCCGTAAACCAGATTACAGGAACTTGTTTCCAGTAAAAGTGGCCCATTGTCTCCAGTCTCTAAGGGTCTCCAGTGTGACGGCTATGTATTGCATCTCTTCTTTTGATGGATGATGTGGTTTTGTTGGTTTCTTCGAGCCAGGACCTCCAGCAGGTACCTATGGAAAGCAGTCTGGGACCATAGTCCTCGACTGAACAGGGTTGGATTAWGAAAGTGAAGGAGTTCCAGTATCTCTGGGTCTTGATGAGTGGAACAGAACAGGACCATGGTTGGTGGACTGAGCTGCTAACTGCAGTGAGGTGGTACCAGTCTGTGGTGGTGAAGACACACTTATTGTTTGTTGAATCTTTGTTGGGCTTACGGCTCTTCTTTCTTATCATCCTTCTTGTCATCCTTCTTTCCGTCTTTTTTGTCGTCCTTCTTGTCATCTTTCTTCTCATCTTTCTTGTCATCTTTCTTTCTGAAACAGACAAACTGAAGCTAATGAGTAGGTCTTTTGTGTCATAAATGTTGAGTCTTGAACAAAAACCAGGACCAGCAGAGAAGGAGCACACCTCTGGACCCCAGATCTAGATTTATGGATAAAACCAGGTGCTAATGATGCAACCAGCTAATGGACTACCTCTGAGCTGAAATCATCACAAAACCTGAGTTGAAAATATCCAAGTCAGTTAAGAAGGAAGTGGTAAAAACACATACTCACTCAGCAGAGTACTACTGTTTCTGATCTTGAGAATGTAGAAAACAAGCGTAGTGACCAGCTAACTAGCATGCAAGCTAACATGATAAAGCTCTCTATGGTGGTAGACTTGGAGGCACCAGGTGGAATARCATTAGCTCTTGGGCCTGCCAGAAGTTTATTGCTGAATTTCTTGAGAACCTGTGGCTTGAAGGGAAACCGGGCTTGTTAGCAAAATTAGCAAAGTCTAATTTAGCAGGAGCTAATTGGCCCGCTAACGATGGTTTTCAAAGTTTGTGAAAAACACTAACCCACTAAATGAAAGCTTAGTTCTGCTGTCAGATGATTTAAGGAAATATCGATGTCTTTTTTTTTTTGTAGTGCACAAAAAGCTCAGTGGCTAATCTATTTGATCTCTTTTACCCTTCTGCTCTATCCCAGCTCTGAACAGCCCAAATCACAAGTCTAAAGAACCAGACCTAGCCTTGCATTATTGTTAGTGTTTGTTTGCAGACAAACCCATAAAAGAATCACAAACACAAGGTTCTTGTGTAAATCTTACCCGTCATTGTTGTTGGAGTTGTTCATGTTGTGTGAGGCCTTACGCCGCTGATTATCCCTGTCAGAGAAACAATAATCAGTAGTCTTGAGATTTACAACTAATGAACTTTTGATGTCAGCTTGATTCAAAATGGCTGCCACATTCTGCTGACCTTAGAAAACACAAAAATGTCTCTAATTCAAATAGTTTTACAGATATTGAGCAAAGTTTTGTTGTGGTTTCAGCTGAGAGTCATCAAATTGATGAATATTTCAATACAGACTTATTATTTTCAGATTTTACATGTCTAAATCTTGACAGCTTGTTGAAAGTAGGCAATTACAAGCTGGTTTGGTAAGTGTTGGTTTAAAAAAACTCAATTTATATTTGTCTAGAATGATGCCAAAGGGAATTTCAGCCCCTGTTTTGGATGACTTGTCCCAGACTAAAACTTCAGATTATGTTTTCAGAGCTAGGTATGAGATGTTTTGTTAATTTATTATTGTGATTTAAGAACACAGACTTTCAGGCTCAGTTTGGACATCTGAATGTTCCTGATGGAAACTAAAGGAGTCAGAGAAACTGAATCAAAGGACCATGAAAGAGAYATAATTATCTTAAATGAGCATTTATTCTGTTGGATGAGCTTGTAGCTCCTATATATATATTTTTTTTTTCCAATGAATCTTTTTGGAGATTCATCAGCTAAAGAAATTACTTAATTATGACTCCAGTTTCTCATCCAGTGGCACAACTCTATGTCTGACATCTCACAGCAGTTGAATGTCCCAGGTTGAGGACTCACCTGCTCCCCATGCTGCTGGCTGTCCTGGTCCAGACTCTCCTGGACTGGTGCTGCTGCTCTCTGAGTAACCCACACACCTTTGGTCAAAGGACCATCAGCAGACCAGAGAGGTTAAACTGAACAGTCCTGAGCTCCTGATGTGGGTCTCACCTGGACAGAAGTCCAATCCCAAATAAAGACATTGATTCTTAGTGTCCATCACTGTGAGACAGGACAAGGGACAGTTAGACCAGAATTGTTGTTCATTTCATTTAGTTCTGAACGAGTCCTTGTTCARTCCTAAACAAGTCCATCAAAGGAGACCTGGGCCTTTCAGTCCATCACAGCTACCTGTAACATTTGTCARTATTTAACTTGCAACTTTTTTTTCTGCTTGGCCTTCAGAGGAGTCGGACACTTTTTGTTCTCTCTCCCGAACCTGTCCCTCCTTCCCAGCTTTGCAGCTGGGTCAAGTCTTTCATCCTATCATCCGAAAACAAAAGGAATTCTGGATTTGGTCAACTGGTCTCTGAACACAATCGACACTTTTTTCCACACTGAGATTGGAGCGTGGGGAGTGCAACTGTCCCAGTGGAACGGTGGTGGCCGGGTGAGTGTCTGGTTCTTGGGGATTGAACCTCGTCTATTTGGCACCGCTTTCCATTGAAGACGTGGAAGATCTGTATATATTTGGRTTTATGATGACTGGATTCCTGCTGATTGGYTGTGGAGGAGTCCTGGTTTATCAGAAAATGAAAACGATCCTGACAGCAGTCCGGGCCTGTGAAAAGCTGTCAGGGACCTTGGATGGAATCTCCCTTAATGGAAACACACAGACTCAGATACTGGGGGATATAAATCGCAAACTGGACGTGATTCTGACGAGGATCACAGTTTAGCAGCGTGCCCGTGAGGATTGAGGCTACACCTGGGTGAAGTTTCAGACGGGAGAGGCGAGGTGGTAATGAAATTTGGAATATTGGCATTTTTCGCAACACAGAGGCGCAGTTAAGACTCAAAGCAGTGAAAACAGGCTGCTTGCCCCAAAACTATTGTTTATCTTTGAATTCCTGCAGCTGTGACCTTGGAYGCAAGCTGATAAAACCTCCCTGGAATGACACGTGAAAAGAAAGCCTTGACTCCCCACCATCCCTACCCGCTTCACCCACACTTGGATCGGTCTGAAGGCCGCGTTGGGTGGAAACAGAGACCTGAACTCTGATGATTTGTGCTTTGAGTGATAACAACTTGTTTGGACTCTGGAGGTCTTCTGATTGGTTCCAACACGGAGTTCTTCCCTGAATGTCACTGGCTCCGCTGAACCCCTCCCCTCCTTAGCTAACTGCACTGTCAAGAGTAGTTTTTTTKAGCGTATGTTTGTGTGTTTTCTGTATAAAACACAGGATCAAAGCTCTTTTTTTAAACTCACCTTCCTATTGTGTGTGTATTCTTAACTGCAAAGGTAGCGCACTAAGTTGCGAAAGACCTTGGACATTCGTTCACCCATGTTTGTCATGTGTGTGTTTCTCCGGACGGATGTTCTAAACTGCAAATTTCGTTCTGCACTGCATCTTGATGTTGTGTGTGAAGGACAATAAAAATCCTGATTCTGCAACTTAAATATTTAGTTAAAAAACTAAATATTTAGCTTGCTAACTAAAGATTTACTTTGTAAGTTAAATATTTATTGTATAAACATGACATTTATAAATCTATGAATAACATGGTGAAAATCTGACTTTGAAAAATAAACCCCTATTTTTTTTCTTATGAAAGGCTAAATAAAGCAAAAATATTGCTGGTAATTTATGACTGTGTAACTTTACAAACAGCACCCCATAACTTAGCTACTCTATTAGCTTTTAGCTTTTTCAGCTTATAACTAGCCTATTGTTGATTTTTAGCTAGCTACTTTAAGCTTATAATTGACATTTTGATATGGGTTTTTAGCTGGCCTGATCTGCCTTTAGTTAGCCTGAGGCTACTTTTAGCTTATAGTATGTTTTTTTAGTTTTAGCTTGCATTTTTCTGGGTTTGACTTTTGGTTACTTTTGGTTAATCTTTTGTTAAGTTTAGTTAGCAGTTTGCTGAATTTAGCTAGCCTTTATCAGAATCAGAAGCATTTATTGTCATTCACACACAACATCAAAGATGCAATGCAGAACGAAATTGCAGTTCAGAACATCTGTTCGGAGAAAGAAACACATAACAAACATGGGGGAATGAATGTTCACAGTCTTTCGCACAATGGTGTGCTACCTTTTGCAGCTTGGAATACACACAATAGGAAAGGTGAGTTTAAAAAAAAGATGCTCTGATCCTATGTTTACACAGACACATASGCTCAAAAAAAGCCACTCGCGTAGTAAGGCAGCTAAGGGAGGGGGTGGGGGTCAAACACATGGTATGGGGTGGGGTTCAGCGGAGCCGGTGACATTCCAGGATAGTACTCCATGTTGGAACCAGTCAAAGACATCCAGAGTCCAAAACAAGTTATCAACCAAAGCACAAATCACTAGAGTCAGTTCTCTGTCTCCACCCATCGTGGCCTTCAGAATGATCCACCCACGGGTGATATGGGTAGGGGATGGGGAGACAAACCTTTCTCTCATGTGTCATCCAGGGGAGTTTTGGAACTGCCGCCAAGGTCAGAAGCTGCAGGGATCCAAAAGACATAATTGTTTGGGACAAGCAGCCTGGATTTTTTTTTTTTTTTTGCTGTTTTAAGTCTGTAACTGCATCTCTGTGATGGTGAAAATGCCAATGTTCCAAATTTCATTACCTCCTCGCCTCTCTTTCCGTCTGAAACTTCACCCGGGTGTAATCCTACATCTCACATGCACGCTGCTGAACAGTGATTCTCGTCAGAATCACGTCCAGTTTGCGACTTATATCCCCCAACATCTGAATGTGTGCGTTACCAGTACAGGAGATTCAATCCAAGGTTCCTGACAGCTTTTCACAGGCCCAGACTGCTGTCAGGATCGCTTTCATTTTCCGATAAACCAGGACTCCTCCACAGCCGATCAGCAGGAATCCAGTCATCATAAATCCAAATATGAACAGATCTTTGACGTCTTCAATGGAAAGCAGGGCCAAACAGATGAGGTTCCACCCGCAAGAACCAGACACTCACCCGGCCACCACCGTTCCACTGGGACAGCTGTGCTCCCCTCACTCTGATCTCAGTGTGGAAAAAATTGTGTCAATTGTGTACAGAGACCAGTTGACCAAATCCATAACTCCTTTTGTTTTCAGATGATAGGATGAAAGGCTTGACACGCAAAGCAGGGAAGGAGGGACAGGTTCAGGAGAGAAAGCAAAAAGTGTCCGACTCCTCTGAACGCCAAGTTAGTCTACTAGTTCCTCTTAGCTGACATTTGTATGCTTTTAAGCCAGCATTTTGTTGCTTTTCAATTTTTGGTAAAATGTTGCTATTCTTCCTTTTTAATAGCTGTTACTTTTAGCTGCCTTTTGCTGTTTGTAGTTTTTAGCTAGTTTGTGTTTTTTTAATCCATTCTCTATTTTTTTTTGCTCACGTATTGCTTTTTCGAATTTTCRGCTAACTTTTTACTTCTTTTGTCCTCCTACTTCTCTTTAGGTTTTAGTTTGTTTTGTGTTTCTTTTAGCGTTGAYGCTACATTTTCTCAGAAAAATGAATTTCTCTGATATTTGAACCTGACTTCAGCTGTCAGTCAGTGGAAATAAATAAAAATCATGAAATGTTAGTGCTGTGGGTAAAAGTAGCTTGTTTGTGTTGCTCATTAACTCGTTAAGTTGCCTCTCCTGCACAGTTTACTCAAATCCTTTTCTCCCAGATTAAATCAGCTAAAATTAGATGTCCAGCCCAACGTGACTTGTTAAGCTGGACCTGCTCCCTGCCTCTTCCAGCAGACTGAGGAGTGTGGATTTACCTGAATATGAGTGATGAAGATGAAGTCATACCAGCTCCCAATTAGCAATTAATTCTTCTCATCCATTAGACCAGGAGGTCCCAGATCATGTTTGTCCTCTGACACAGAACCAGGATCTTCCTCTGCTGCTGGAGGAGCTGCTTGTGTTCATCCACCGACAGAGGAGGAGGGAGAGGATGAGGGAGAGGAGGAGGGAGAGGAGGAGGGAGAGGAGGAGGAGGAGCATCTAATGAAGATAACTGTCTCAGTTTCTGCTTTTCAACAGTTTGTGTTACTTTAATAAAATCTTAAACTTTGTTTTGTTCTCAGCTGTTCAAATGAAAATCTAAATCTGAAATTTTAACAAATTCCATGAGGTCCCACATGGTTCTGTGCTTGGTCCTGTTCTCTTCAGTTTGGATGCTCGAGGTCCCACAAGGTTCTGTGTTTGGTCCTGTTCTCTTCAGTTTGGATGCTCGAGGTCCCACACGGTTCTGTGTTTGGTCCTGTTCTTTTCAGTTTGGATGTTTGAGGTCCCACAAGGTTCTGTGTTTGGTCCTGTTCTCTTCAGTTTGGATGCTGTATGTCTCAAACTTAACTGAAGGAGGGAAAACTGTGTTGTTACTGTTAAACCAAGCAGGTAAAAAAGCATAAAGTCTAAAATAAAGAAAACAGAGACAAAAATAAACAGAAAACAAAAATATAAGCAAATAGCAAAACCATAAAAAATGTTAAAGATAAAAACAGAAATGTAACTTTTACTCTAGGAAAAAAGCTCACAGTGATGATGAAAAGCATAGCGAAACAGATGCTAACATGCAGGTATAGAGGAAATACAAATAGCCAAACGAGAGCTAAAAGCTAGACTGTGGCTAAGTCCTCATGGTGTGTAGCGGTCACCCCTGGTGAAACAAACATGTAAAACTGTCCTTGAGCTAAGGCCTCCAGTTAAAGCCACAACAGGTTTTCTTAAACAGTAAAGAGACATTTTCTTCTTCTTAATCAAACAAACAGAATAATTTTCTTTTATTCATAATCTTATGAATGTTTAAGAAAATTACAGACAATGTTCTCTTGTTTTAATGCAAATTATTTCTTGAAATTGAAATGTGAAACCACAGTGATTGATTATAGATATTTCTGTTGAGATACTTAACTAAACTCAGCGTTATATATTTATTTTTTGTCTGAATYGTCTTAATAAGTTTTCAGTAAATCATTTCTCTCAGCAGAGAACAGGCTGTACAGACGTCAACAACAGGCAGTGTCCTCACTAACATTTAACTAACATCTTTGGTCTAAAACTAACTGGTCAGACAGAACGTTCTGGTGCTTCCATTAGGAACCAGTGCTGGACTGTGAGCTTTTTGCCCAGTTTGGTCAAAGGGAAACCTCACAGCCTGGACCGGACGGGTCCGCATCCAGGCTGTGATAAAAGCTTGTAAACAGCTAAAAAAAAAAGGTGGCTAAAAATGATAACTAATGTGTAAACAGCACAGGACATTTAAATCAGAGCAGGTACGCTGAAACCAATTTACTGCACAGAAAAATGTAAATATCTTTTTAAGTCATAGTTGACTTTATTTAAAAGGCAAAAATAAAAGCTACAGAAGAAAGCTGACCTTAAACAAGTGTTTTAAATGTGAATGATGACTCAGCATTCTAATAACAGGTGGTTTAATAATGTAAAGTTCTTCCAACCAGGCTGTGGGTTTCTGGTTTGTCTGATCKGGTCCTGAATGATCAGGACCGACTGGAGTCTGAGGAAATCCTCTTATGAGACCATCTGAAGGAAACATCATCCACCTGCAGCTCAAAGAGGAGTGGGACAATCCTCCTGAACCTTCGGCTAATCTCAAATCTGACCCTCGGGCTGCTTCGGCTCTGAGCTCAGGCTGGGAACAAGTCAGAGGTGTTAACACTGAGATGTTGAAAACAGGNAAAACAGGTCAGTGTTAACACTGAGATGTTGAAAACAGGTCAGTGTTAACTAACAGGAGCTCCCACTTTCATCAGGACCCCCAACCTGTCAGCTGATTGTTAAAGTTTACCGTCAGCATCAAACCTGTGAAAACATGATGAGTCCCCTGAGCTGCTGAACTGTTAATGAACTGCTGAGTCAGGTGTGACTCATCATTTAAATCCATTAATTAGACCACCCCCCCCACACACACACACACGTTTGTTCTTGTGCTGAGTGAAGCCAACCCCTCCCATAAATGAACCACAGGAAAAAAAAAAGGTAAAATAAGATGAGAGGTTAGTGCTTCGTTTGTGCTGCTCTGGTTTTTTAAATATTACAGATTATTTGTAAAGGTCATTCAGGGGTCACCACCCTGCCCACTCGCTCCAAARTGAACCAAACTAGTTGAATTGTGTTGTGCTTGTTTGAGCRGTTTGTGTCGTTGAAACRGCTGTTTGTGCTGCTGTAGTTTATGAGATGTCACACGTTATAATTTGGGACGATCACGTGACTTGGCCTGACTTGTGTACGTCTGTGACAACAGGCCAGGTCACGTTGGCAGACTGGGGTGGTCCCTCTCTTTAACATGGGGGCAGGAGGGTTTRCTCTGGGGCGTCACTCTCCCTGGTAGGGTCTTCTCAGGGGTCCTGGAGAAGAGAGTCCAGTCGATGGTCAAACCTCAGGTTCTGGGGGGACAATGTGGCCGTGGGACACTGGACCAACTCTTTACCCTCACTAGGGTCCTCGAGGGGTCATGGGRGTTTATAATCCAGTCTACATGTGTGTTATGGACTTTARGAAGGCATTTGACCGTGTTCCTCGAGGTACACTGTGGKAGTGCTACGTGAGTGTGAGATTGTGGGTCTGTTGTTGTGGACCATTAAGTCTTTGTGTGGTACAGGAGTTTGGTTCACATTGCTGGTAGTAAACTGGACCCCTTCAGAGTGGGAGTTGGACTCCACCAGGGCTGCAGTGGGGGTGGAGGGAGTCTGGTCCGCTGGCCTCAGGGTTTCCTCTCTGCTGTTTGTAGATGATGTGGTTCTGWTGGYRTCATTGCACCAGTATCTTCACTGGAGYGGTTCCAGCTGGGATGAGGATCAGCACCTCCAAAYCTGAGTCCATGGTCCTGAGTCTGAGAAGGGTGGATTGGTCTCTCCAGGTTGTGGATGAAGTTCTGCCTCAGGTAGAGGAGTTCAGGTATCTCAGGRTGTTGTTCACAGTGAGGGAAGAATGGAGCGTGACACTGATGGACGGATCGATCCAGCTTTACAGAGTCTTTACTGGTCTGTTGTGGTGAAGAGGWGCTGAGCTGTAAAACAAAGCTCTCTGTTTACCGATCAGTCTACGTTCCTACCCTCACCTATGGTCACGAGCTTTGGGTAGAGACCGAAAGAACGAGATCACAGATACAAGCAGCTGAAATGAGTTTCCTCCACAGGAGTCTGGACTCTCCTTACAGAGAAGGAGAGAAGCTCTGGTGTCAACATGTACAGTAATGGTAAATCCAGACTCTTGACTGTTTAGCATTAGCTGTTAGCTTCACCAGCCGATCACACGGTCACCTGGTTTCTGCACACTCCAGTTGTTCTAYAGAACCTCCTTGGCTTCAGCTGATGATGGCGCCCCCTGCTGTCGAGGAGGAGAACACCTGATTCTATCTGAAAGGTTTCATGTGACTTTTGGCAGAAACTTTCTGCAGAGTCTGAATGTTTTTATGTGAGGAGAGATCATCTTGTACTTCAGGATACTTTTTAAACACAGTAAGCTTTATTTGTGTGAAACCAGTTTTATTTGTGTGAAACCAGTTTTATTTGAGTGAAACCAGTTTTATTTGTGTGAAACAGGTTTTTATTTGTGTGCAACATTATGGCAGGACTTTAACTCCAGAGATAATTCAGGATTAACACTGGATTAACCAGTGTTAAAAATTATATTTCTTAATTTTTTTATTCTTATTAAATTTTTGTATTTACCATTTGTACTCATAAAAAAGTTCAAATGTTTGTTCTTTTTTAAGTAGTTTTTCTTTTCTTTGCAGCTACTACTGTGCTACTTTAGCTGCTATATTTGGATTTTAATAACTGTTAGCTTTTAGTTAGCCGTTTCATTATTATAATTGTAGCTAGTTTTTCTGTAGCATTCTGTAACCTGTAACTGTTAGCTACCATTCAGCTACTTTTAGCTTTTTGCTACCATTCGGCTAATTTTAGTGACTGTTATAATTATTAGTATAAAATGATGCTACTCTTATGTCTAAGATAGGATTAGGATCCTTTCTAACAAGTCTTTTGCTCTTTTAGCGACATTCTGTTATTTAGCTACTAGTTTGTTTTTTTAAATTATATATTTTTAAGTTTAGCTGACTTTTTTGTTTTTAATTAATATTCTTTATAGTTATTTTTAGAGACGGTTTGTTGTTAAGCTTGTGTTTTAGCTTTTAGCTAGTGTTGTGCTTCTTTCAGCTTCACCCCTGAACGTCTCCAGCTGTCGTGTCAGCAGGTAACCAGTTTTAGGTCCTGACACTGGTGGGGGTCCAGGTGTGTGGGGGTCTCAGAGGTCTGCAGGACACCCGAGCCTCGGCTCAGAACAGTGGGGCTGACCTGTGGTGCTGTGAGCAGCTGTGCGACCCGCTGCAGCTCCGTCTTCTCCCCTCTGAGAAACTGGAGACGGTTTGTGTTTCTGCTGCTGAAGTCCAGCTCAGCTGGCCTCACACCAGCAGGAACAGAAGGACAAACCAGTCTGCTCCTGAGGTGTGTTAGCGTAATATCTGAGCAGCTCCTGGACAGACCTGAWCCTGCTGCAGCTCCTTCTGTCTGTCAGCTAAACTTTAGCTGTGAAGCCGGCAGGATCAGCTGGAATGTGGTTTAATAAGCAGCTGCTGACTCTGACGGTAAAATAAAACCTGCATCAGGCCCAGTTCCCCCCCCCCCCGCCCCCCCGGGAACTCCAGGGACCTGCAGCTGAAACCAGACCCTGCATGCACACTCTGAGCAGGACCAGGACTCGTGGACTCTCTGCTCCTCCTCCTCGGCTCACTGACCCGTTTCTGAGTCCGGATCAGGTTTGATTAAAAATATGTGGAGACCCGACTCTCAGCTACTACCACCCCACAGCCGAAGTCTGACTGTCGGCTGAGGAGCAGCAGAAGTCCTTTAGCTCTGACGGCCATCTTGGTTCTGTGGTTCGGGTCAGGCGGTCCTGTTTCCTCTGACACAGAACTTCTCTGTTCAGTCCAGGTTTGTCTCTCATGTTGACATGTGAAGSAGGTCCTGGATCCTGTGGACTGGACTCTGTAGACCACATTCACAAAAACACAGTTTTCAGTGTCGTTATGTGTGAAAACATGTTAACTGGTGTAAAAATGCTTCAGTCTGTATGAAAGGTCACAGGAACAGGAAACAAGACCAGGAACATAAAAACTGTAAACACAGGAAGAGGACCAAGGTCAGGACTACAAGAACTGAGTCCTTCATGTGGACCGAGTCCGACAGGTCCTGCCTGGTCAGGTAGTCTCTGCCTGTGGTGTAGACCAGTGGTTCCCAACCTTTTTATCTTCTGACCCACAAAATATCCAGGGCAAAATCCTGTGACCCCAAATATTACAGGTCTGAGTACACAAACGTCGTTAATAAC